AGCGTAGCGTAGCGTAGCGTAGTGTAGTGTAGTGTAGTGTAGTGTAGTGTAGTGTAGTGTAGTGTAGTGTAGTGTAGTGTAGTGTAGTGTAGTGTTGTGTAGTGTAGTGTAGTGTAGTGTAGTGTAGTGTAGTGTAGTGTAGTGTAGTGTTGTGTAGTGTAGTGTACGTAGTGTAGTGTAGTGTGGTGAAAGTAGTGTAGGGAATTAATACACTATAACATAACAGTGCCAGGATTACATGATTCAGCTGCAATAATCACGTGAAGATCTTTATCAAAGGGGATCTTTATCACTAACATCCCCCGTACGTACGCTCAGTACTACAATTATGCACGTGGAGTGAGGTGCTGCCACCTATCGCTGCCATTATTGCAAAACAGAACGCTGCGCTGATACCGGTTTAGTAGATCAAAACGAACAAACACGCAATAAAAGCTTGAAATAGCTCAGAAAAACACGTGATTGCCGTGCAATAAACATGTATATTATTGCCTCAAGGCGTGGAAAACGACCTACATAATAATTATATACAATAAATCCAGCAACTTCCGTCTACATTGAATTTTAATTGAAGTCCTAAATTAGTAGATTAGTCACTTCTCTGCGCTTCGCTTCATTTTATGTCGATTCATGCAACACTGCAGAAAGCATTGAACAAAATTAATAATATCTACTCTAGATCTGAGGTTTATTGTCGCCCGCGCACGTACGATGCAAGACTGATGACCTTCAGATGTCATTGACCTGACGCCGTGTTCTGCCAATTCGACCATGACGCACGTACATCTAAGGAGTAGACAGGATCGAACGTTTCTATATGCTTTATGTAGAGAACGTACGCTCAAAACCGCCGAGATTGGCAGGGACGTATATAGGACATGCATGCTTTGTTGGTGGCGTCCTAGAAATATTCTACCTACTAGTTATGAGCATATGTCGTCTACATGTGGTAAGCGACACGTCTTCGCGGAAGCCGCGTGTGTGTGTGTGAGTGTGTGTATCGTCGAACTGTGCTATCGTTGCTAAATGGACCGGTGGAATTTTTCATCTTTAAGTTTCATCTTTTAAGTTTTCATCTTTTAAGTTCATACCAAGTTTCATCTTCACAGTTTAGTTGTTGTAGTTAGTTGTTTACGGTAGTGTGGCGCCACCCCGCGAGTTATCTTTGTATGTAGTCGCTACGTGACCTCAGCAAATACAATGGCGGCAATGGCAACGCGAATGGGAAATTCGAATGCATAGTTCTCCGGGTATTGGATGCGCGGTCGCGTCTATATATATCCATCTATATATAGGGACTCTACCTCTCACCCCGCGGGCTAGGGATAATGTCATTTCACTTCACTCGCCCACAGTATTCTACATATCTATGTGTTCGCTCGTCCGTGGCTGTTTTCTCGTTCCCCGGGGAATCGTCACAATCGTGGGCATTCTTTCTGTCTTACATCCCTTTCCTGCTGTTGTATCCGTGCGGTGCGCAGTCCGTGGTGGGTCGTGTGAGGGATTGTTACAGTTCAGTGGTTGTGATGGGTCCACTGTGCTGTCATGTGAATGAACTGGAGCATGTGTCGTGGTCGTGCATGACGCAGGCGCAGTCCAGGGAAGCACGCCTGAGCAGCTCGTGTAGGTGGCACTGTCACATCAACAACCGTGTTTCTCTCTCCGGTTGCGAGAGAGTCGGAGATAGAGCGAGAGCGCGCGCGCGCGAAAGAGAGAGAGAGAAAGAGAGAGAGGAAAAGAGAGAAAGAAAGGAAGAGAGAGAGAAACAGAGAGAAGGCGAGAGAGAGAGAGAGAGAGAGAGAGACCGAGAACGAGAGGGATAGAGAGAGAGCGCGAGACAGCTCGAGGCGCGAGCACGCTCGAGGCGAGGCGCTCTCTTATTCATGTTGTTTGTGCACGCAGCACAGGGCGGGCGTGCGGTGTACTTGTGTGTTGCATATGAGCATTTGACCGGCATTTACAGGTGATTATAGGCAAAATAGAGTAGAGAAACATTAATACTTTGATACATTTCGTGTTTATTTACCATTAATTTTGTTTATTAAGACGTTCCAAGTGCCTGTGCATCCGAGCGTCTGCGTTTTCGCCATGGTCGAACCGACTCGGGGAATACTACGTCGCTATCTGCTGGCGACAGCAGCGGGCGGACTCTTCCTGTTCGTCTGCATGGCGACGGTGCTGCCAGCTAGGAGGACTAACAGCCGACAAGCCCGTGGCGACAAACCACTGATATATACCGCCGACGACCGACCGTCCGCTGCCGACGACCAACCATCTGCCGTTGCCGACCGACCGCCTGTCGCCGACCGACCGTTTGTCGCCGCCGACTGGGCCGACGTCGTTGCCGACGGGATCTTGATCAATTTTACTCGTGCGCGTGACGGCAATGGTTCGTTTCCGGTCGCCGTGCAGCGACGTAACGACGACGACCGCCGCTCGAGCATCGAATCGAAGCTACACGGGGACCCGGGTTCGAATCCCGCCTCGGAGAAATCGTCGGAGGTCAAGCGACGACGCGTGACGAAGCTGCGCGACACGTACTACGTGAATGAGGCCACCAGGGAGTACGACTGCGCCGCCGACACGCGCCGACGTCTTCCGGACTGCGTCATCATCGGCTTCCGGAAGTGCGGCACGATGGCGCTGCTGCGCATGCTCGGCCAACATCCGGGCATCGCCGTGCGCGACTGGAGTCCCGTCGAGGTGAATTTCTTCAACCGACATTACGACCGCGGCGTCGGCTGGTATCGCGAGTCGATGCCCTGCTCGTCGTCAGATCAAATCACGATCGAGAAAAGCCCCCGATACGTCATCGACGTCGCGACGCCCGAGCGCATGTCGGCCGTCAACCGACGCATGAAGCTGATCGTCGTACTGCGGGAGCCCGTCGCCAGAACAGTCTCCGACTATCTGGAACACAACGACCGCTCGGTGGCGTTCGAGTCGCTGACGTACGACGCCGACGTCGGTCGCGTGAGACTGACGGCGGGCGTGAACGAGAGCGTGTATCACGCGCACGTCGCCAGGTGGCTGCGACATTTCCCGCGCCGACAGTTTCTATTCGTCGACGGCGACGCGCTCGTGCGTCAGCCGGCGACGCAGTTGCGTCGCGTCGAGGAGTTTCTCGGCGTGACGCAAGGAGAGGCCCAGCGTAGGCTCGTGTACAACAAGGAAAAGGGCTTCTTCTGTTTCAAGGTCAACGAAGCAGTGAAGGTCAAGGTCAAGGATGGGGATAGGAGCATCGATCAAGAGTGTCTGGGCGGGAAGAAGGGCCGGAAGCACCCCGACGTGGCGCCGGAAGTGACGCACAGCCTGCGTCGGATGTTCGCTCCGCATAACGAGATCATGTTCGAAATGATCGGTCGTCGCTTCGACTGGAACCGATGAGCGCGCCATCTAGCGTGGGTCGCGCCGGCGGAATGTGCAGCGGTCGCTGGATTTTTTTTTTGGGGGGGGGGCTATTCTTCATGGTTCCCACGTGAATGTGAAACGAGGAATTGTTACTAATAATAGGCGAAAGAGACGATAGGAGAATACGTTCATCAAAGCTCACATCAACATTAAATACTCTGCATCATGGTAGTTTGCTATGCGCGAATGTTATACGATGTTATACGATGTTATACAATGTTATACGATGTTACATGATGTTATACGATGTTACGGTGTTATGATATGGTGATATTATGATGTTATACGATGTTACGATGTTATGAGTTATGATATGTTATAATGTTACGATGTTATGATATGGTGATATCATGATGTTATACGATATTATACGATGTTATGATATGTTATACGATATTACGATGTTATGAGTTATGATATGTTATAATGTTACGATGTTATGATATGGTGATATTATAATGTTATACGATATTATACGATGTTATGATATGTTATACGATATTACGATGTTATGAGTTATGATATGTTATAATGTTACGATGTTATGATATGGTGATATTATAATGTTATACGATATTATACGATGTTATGATATGTTATACGATGTTATGATGTTATGATATGGTGATATTATGATGTTATACAATATTAAGATATTCTTATATGTTGTACGATGTTACGATGTTATGATATGGTGATATTATAATGTTATAC